AACGGTTGATGCTAGGGTTTTCATGCTTTCATACTTCACATGTGTAATCCTTGTGACAAGACCTTCCTTTGGATACCAACAACTTTGACCCTTTGACCTTGTTTGACCTACTTTTGAAAAAAGAATTAACCTTGGCCATATCTTTTGAACGATTGGTGCTAGGGCTTTCATATTTCACATGTGTATTTTTTGTGAGAAGGCCTTTCCTTGGGCACCATTTATTTTGACCCTGGCCTTGATGTTTGAATTACTTTTGAAAAACTTCAACCTTTTCCATATCTATTCAATGGTTGCTGCTAGGCCTTTCATATTTCACAAGTAAATTCCTCGGTACAGGACCTTACTTTGGGTACCATCATATTTGATTTGCATTTGAGAAAGTTTAACCTTAGCTATGAGTTGTCATACGGGGGCATCAGTGTTTCACAAACACATCTTGTTCCTTTAGATCCCCCCCCCCCCCACCTTTCGCTGTTGTAAGGTCGAGCACTGGTAAATTCCAGGATTTGGACAGTTAATTAGGTGCTTTTTTATGCCCACGTATCAAAGATTCGGGGGTATATACCTTTTGCCCTGTCCGTCCGTCTGTCTGTCTGTTTGTCCGCAAAAATTTTAACCTTGCCCATAACTTTTGATTGGTTGGAGCTAAGACTTTCATATTTCCCATGTGTATTCCTTGTGACAAAACCTTTCTTTGGGTACCATCATATTTGACTTTTTGACCTTTACCCTGGAGTTTGACCCACTTTTGCAGAATTTTATTAGACGTTAACCTTGGCCATAGCTTTTGAACAGTTGGTGCTTGGGGTTTCAAACTTCACATGTGTAATCCTTGTGACAAGACCTTCATCTAAATACCAACAACTTTGACCCTTTGACCTTGACCTTGGAGTTTGACCTACTTTTGAAAAAAAATAACCTTGGCCATATCTTTTGAACGATTGGTGCCAGGGCTTTCATACTTCACATGTGTATTCCTTGTGACAAGACCTCCCTTTGGATACCAACAACTTTGACCTTGACCTTGGAGTTTGACCTACTTTTGGAAAACTTTAACCCTGGCCATAACTTTTGAACAGTTGGTGCTAGGGCTTTCATATTTAAGATGTCTATTCCTTTTGACAAGACCTTCCTTTGGATACCAGACACTTTGACCCTTTGACAATGACCTAGGAGTTTGACCTACTTTTGAAAAACTTTAACCTTGGCCATTATTTTTGAACGGTTGTTGCCAGGGCTTTCAAATTTCACAGGTATGTTCCTCGAGACAAGACCTTCTTTGGGTACCGACTTGACCAGGAGTTTGACTTGGATTTGAGAAACTTTAACCTTCGCCATAAGCTGCCATATGAGGGCATCAGTGTTTCAAAAACACATCTTTTTTTCTTTTTTTTTCGCTTGCCAGATATTTTTTGGAAGCCCCCCTGCGCCAATCATTTTTGGTTTGAAACCGTTGCTACTGCTCTGAAATTGTGTACAGAATGTCCAAAGTAAAACCTCTGAGTATTTTTTCTTTGGAAATTCCATGCTGAGAATATCTAAGATATTTCTCTATTACATAAGATTAACCTCATGCAAATAACAAGGACCTCGATCTTCGTGTGACGAGAGTCATGGCACGTCTTTTACATAATAACTCGGAGAAAATCAACGAATGTTAAATGTCTTATTATGTTTTAAAACCAAGTCATTAAAATTTAATGAAAAGGAAACTGTTAACTAAGTGATTTGACTTTTTTCTTAAAATTTATCCAATCAGGGTTTTTCCGACTTTAGAAGTAAACTTTTGCCCTACCAGGTATCAAAATAGCATAAACACTAATGAAAAACTTTTTTGTTGAACTTTGAGAAAATGTAATGCGTATAGAGGTGCATACTGAGTTTATCTAAGAGTTCATTTTCAACGTGCAGTCATATTTCTCCAGTAAAAAAAATGTTCAAAGACTATGAGGTATTAGTGAACAAAAATCACTGTTGTTTAGATACATAGGGGAATTCCTTGCAAATAATGTTTTCAATTATTTTATCTTGGTTTTTAATATAATGTTAGAAATATTTAGATCTATTTCAAGTTGTGCCATTCACTGTAAATTTCCGTTTATTCCATTTTCCATCGAAGAGCAGATCCTCCATCTAACTGCATTAAACTACCATGGAAATGGAACTCTTCAGTGAACACTGTTTAGAACTTACTTATTAAAGTATCTAGTAAATAGAGTGTACAGCTCAGGGAGTTAATCGGCAGGAACCTGAATTAAATCTCCTTCGTTGGAATAAGGGGAAGTATAGTTTTTCTTACTCCTCCAACGACATATTTCAGGGTCGTCAACAGGTGTCTGAGGTGGGGTTGGGGGGGGGGGGTTGGGGGGTTGGTTGGTTAGTAGTAGTTCTCTCTCCCCTTATAGTCAGAAAATGTTTATGAATGGGTATACCATTTTGGTGGGTTCCGATGCATTTTGTAAGTCTTTTTCTCAACAAAATATAGAAGTATCAAAATCCAATAGTATAAATTAAACAGATTAATTTATTTTGTTTCAAAAATGATATTTTCGATTTCTTTTTTAAGGGATGCAATCCCCTCAACGCACCCGATCCCCATTTCTTCCGACGGCCTAGAAGAGCAAAGTTCACACAATTCATTCCAAAACTATAAATATACTAAGGTATATCAATCCCGCATTTTTATATTCGAATAACGTATAAATACCTCCATTTTGCTTGTCATATTTGAATTATAGCCCTACATGCATGTATGTTTAATGGTACTAGAAAAGAGACCTGTGGCATTACATAATAGAAAAAAATGTTAAAAGTTTTCAGAAGGTCGGACGACAGTCACACATATATCCAAACAAAAAATTTACTCATGGACTTTAGCAGGGCGGTCACCAAATTTCTAGAAAGGGGATGCGGTAGAGGCCGGGATATCTCAGGGAGGTATCCTCCCTGAGTCAGAAAAGGTAGTAGAAAAGGGGTAGCTTTTTCCGAAAATAGTGTTTTGCTGATAGTTGAAGGGAAATTATCATTTAAATGCCCCACCCCCCTCCCAACTTCTGGCTGTAGTATAGTCGAATCATCCATGCGCTCAACATTTTTTTGGTTGTAAATAAAAGAGTAGGAAAATTCCTCCATTCCTCCATGAAATAGGTTTTTGCGCGTTTAAAGTTTACTTTTTTCGGCAATGTTTTTGCAGGCGCCTTTTTCTCCATAAAATTCTATTATTTTTTTGGCTGCTCAACCCATCCCGCCTTCCTCTTCTCTTTTTGAAACACAATACTACATGCCTCCACTGTCTGTTTATTTTCAGTATTTTATATTTCATCGTGGCATTTTATTAAAAAAGAATGATAAGAGTCGTGTTCAGAAATGCTAATAATTAGAATGTGAGGTTTAAATTCTGTTGTAAGGGGATGGAGTGGGTGAGTTCTATTTAAAGTCATTCTCATTACGTTTTTATGAAATTCTTCTGCCCGTAACGTCTGATTGTTTGGAGCTAGGGCTTCCATATTTCAGATGTGATTTTCTTGTGACAAAAACTCTCTTTGGGTACCAACATATTTGATCTCTTGACCTTTCAGTTTGACCTACTTTAGCAAAATTTTGCCAAACTTTAAACACATAAGCCATAACTTTTAACGGAAAAGTGCTAGGGCTTTCATATTTCACATATGTGTCTTCCGTATGTCAAAACTTTCCCTTGGGTACCAACAATTTTGGCTTTTGGTCTTGACCCTGAAATTTAAACTATCGTGAGATGTTGAAAATCTTGAACCTTGGCCATGTTGGCCATAACTCAGTTTCGAACAGTGGCTGTTAGGACTTTCATATTTTACATTTATATTTCTTGTTACAAGACAATGCCGGCAATGAGCTGTCATGCGGGGGCATCAGTGATTCACCAACACACATTTTAATTATAATTCATCCACAAAATTTGTGTCTTACATGTACATTGGCGGATCCAGAGGGGGGTGGGGGGTCCGGAGGTTGGAACCCTCCCTTATTTTTTCAGACAAAGAGGGTGAGAGATGTTTGTTCCGTAATAGATAGTTTTACGTCAAATACATTTGTACGTTTGAATAAGACAATTAAGTATAGTTCTCTGTCCTTTTTGCTCATTAGATAGAGCATCGCATATTTACTTTTCTCCTTGTACCTTCACTACCCCAGTCCAGGGTTCCAACCACTCACACCCTAAAGCTTAAAATGGACAAGATCAGAGACGGCCAAGCAGCCAAATTCGGCGCCTACGAAAATTTAAGCATTTGAACGTAAAAATGTACCGAAAAGTTAAAGGAAGACCCAATCCCCTCCCACCACGAAATATGATTTTAGCTTCCCTTCGAAAACCGTTGCTTAGGGGCCTGAAGTGTCTGTGGTGTTCTTCTATGTATAAGGGGGAACCGACCTAGCTGGAACCCCCCTTTCAAAAATTGATGGATCCGCCCCTGATGTAATATTCGAATTAAGTGAACGGTTCCCTGCTACTCCCCTCCCCCACGGGCCGTGATATATATGTTTAAAAAGAAATACAGGAGATTCTTTTACATTACATACCAAATATAGAATGAACACATGTAATATCCAATGTCCACACTCATAATATATTAATGAAAACATTTATGAATTAAAATTTAAAAAGGATATAATCTACATGTAAAATTCATTTGTTAAAAAAATAAATGTACCAGTCTTTCGAATCTTTTGTTGTCTGTAAAATCTATGAATTCTCTCTTTTTACAGTTCAATAAAACATGATAAAATGTAATAATTCAATAAAAAGAAACCTTACTGAAATTAATGATATAATACTACTCTGCTTTTCAGCTTCGACTTTTGTGTAACAAAATACAACAGAGATAAAATCCTCAGTTATGAAAATATATTTGATCTATTTGAAGTATTTGAGACCACATTCTTTTTACAGGTGCGTGGTCATGCCATCTAGTGGATAACAATTGGAAATGAAGTCACGTGACTTTGTTATTAATAATCAATCCGCCATCTTGGATAGAACGGAGAAATGAACTTCCGATTCAGACCGAAAATCATGTTTAAAAAATTGCAACCAAGTTAGAAAAGATGGATTGACTAGCACGAGGGAGACTTGTTGATAGACAGCAGCAAGTCATACCACACAAAGGTTTGTTTTGATATAAAATTATGTCGGAAGTGCAACGGGCACCTGTGACGGGGGGACACTTTGTCGAGTGTTCAATAAACACTGTGCATACCTTTAGACACACGTGTAAAATTTTGTGCATTTATTACGAATATAAAATTTGTCGATTTTGTAAAGGGAATCAAAGAACATTTAGAAAAACGACTCTTATTAAGAAGTAGAACCTTAAATTTACAAATTTAAGGACAGAAAAGTGTCCCATTGGCAAAGCATCATAATTCCACATGAAAATTTATATTATATTCTTAAATATGACATTAACTTGATTAAACATATGTTATCAAGTAAATCTAAGATACAGTGGGTTAATTTCTCAACCTTAAAATTATTTATTTAACGATCTAAGTGTCCAGAATCGTACAAGCTAATCTGGTCACCTCCAGATGCATTTGTAGTGAGTCATATTTCCCAGGTATGAATTTCCTCCCTTTTGAATGAATGTAAACAATAAAAGATGGCATGTTGACAAATAGTTCCTGATGGAACATAATAATAAAGGCATGTTTGGTGGAAAATGGATTTAAATATATTGCCACTGAATTTGTAGAGAGAGATTGATAGTGATTGAAGTGTATAGCTTGTATGTGTTCTTGACTGACAGCAAGTCTGTTAGTGTAAATGCACCAAATCCCATAGAACCTCTAGGTATGACTATGGATTTAGGGGTCTCAAAATTATTTTTGATAATAGATTCCTTGGTGAATTTAGCTAACAAACTTGTAAAATATTAATGTTTTGATAATTAGTTCATTGTTGACCATATCAGATGACAAGCATTGAGAGATCTTGCTTGTTTTAAAACCCTGGCTCTGTCCCCATTGGTTTGGGCCATCAGGTGTTGGACTAAGTGAACAAGTATTGTGACAAAGAATAAGGTTTGGGGAGGGGGGGGGGGGGGGATAAAATGAAAGAACTCTTTTAGAAAATGGATGAAATGGAGAATTTTCAACACCCAAAATTGATATAGTCTTAATTGTAGAATCCCATTTCTAGCAAATTTCTAATTTTAACAAAATTTCTGAAAAAAGGTAGTTGATTTAAGCATAAAACCATACACAGTTCACTGGTATAAGATCAATATGTTAGGTTGATTTGGTACACATGGTGTTAGCTTGACTATAATTAGGACTGACTTGAAACTTTCTATGTGGAAATTGATACACAAAGGTGCACTGATGCGAATTATTGTTTTCCAATATAATTTCCCCAAGTTTTTGTCCACCACTCGTTAGAGCTCGTGTGTTTCATCCATTGGATCTAATAATGGTCTAGACTATTAGTTTTTTTTCCAAGCTTTGCTCATTTTGTTAATGTGTGGGTCTATGCAATTACTAATACTGACATGACGCAAGTGCATAGCACATGCACAGTCATAATATCCCAGTGCATATGACCATACAGTATAATTATTTATATTCACAGTATGATATGGACCACATTTTGATGAGTGTATATCTTAATGTATGGTGCTGATTACATAGGAACAACTGATTTGACGTTTATATGTATTTGATTATGCAGTATATATTGCAGGGGTTGAAATTTTCCTGGAAATCCCACTAGCCCAGGGGCTACCGATCAGTAAAAATTTACTAGCCCAAACCTCAAACTAACTAGCCAGGGCTCGACATTAACTTTTTTTCCTACTTGTCCATTCAGACAAGTGACCAAGACATTTACTTGTCCGAACTTCAACTTCGCTTGTCAGAAAATGTTTCAATAAAGATCTAATACCGTCAACTTCAAAACTAAAATAAAGTCCATTACACATGACATGTGCTTGATTGATTCATGATGTTATTGATAAATACAACAAACACATAAAACGAAATTTTATCTAGGCTTTCTGTTCTGACAACAACAAAAATGTCCACAAGTGAACCTGTTAACATCAAACAGAATCCAAACTTCATTAAGTTCGTAAGTTCCATGCCTTTTCAGTAGTATGCAATTAGCGAACTTCGATCCCGATCGAATGTGAACTCAATTAATAGCGATCCCTATCGGGATCGAGGTCCGGTTTTTATGTACAGCTTCCTGAAACTACTGATTAACTTTCAACAGTCGTTCTTTTTATTATTTAGAGACTCCATTACATTAAAATGCACTTGTCCAATATTCACTTGTCCGTAATTTTTTTTCAGTGGTAGCGGACAAGCGTTAATGTTGAGCCCTGCTAGCCCAACAATTTTTTTTAATGCAAAATGAAAACATAACAAGTTAAAGTTTCAAACGCTTTGGTGACAGAAACAAATTAAACTAGTTCTCGAAACCAGTCTACATAGAAAAGAGAAAGTGAACTGATGAGAATTTTTTTTATTCTGCTAGTCCGACGGACTATCGTTACATTTAAATTAGCTAGCCCGAGTCTTAAAATGACTAGGCCCGGGCATCGGGCTACCGTATATTTCAACCCCTGTATTGATGTGACATTTTGCTGATGCAAAGGATAATTATATTTAATTCTACACTAGAGGACATGAATTATAAGGAACTGTTCAATAGTTCAAAGAACTTCAAAATATCAGCTATTATTATTTAATGATAACTGTCTGGCTTTTTAAACAACATCTATAATATGAAATAGATGAAAATACCAAACAGTGATCAACCACAAAAAAAAAAAACAAAATAAAAAAACAAAAAAAGTATACAAATGATCTGTGATCAGGGTATATTTAAGACACGGACCCCTGGAAATTTCCAGAGGTGGGATCAGGTGCTTAGGAGGAGTAAGCATCACTTGTTGACTGGACACACACCATTAGCCCTATGTATTGATCGGGTAGACAGAGTAATATGTAGTCAAATTAAGTATAAAAACAAAGGCCTTGCAATTGGTATGATATATGTCATTCAAATTAATCAAAATACAAACCAGTGATAGGTTGTGTTTGCTAAGAAGGTCAGTAGAACAGGGGGCATCGCTCATAGAATTTGCGAAATGCTGACTTTAAAAGAGGCCATTGAAATCCCTTTAATATAAACTTATATGTCAGTAGCCTGCTTCAGTTTACTGTAAACCAACTATTTTTCGTGTCATCTTTTATTCGCAATTCGTAAGTTTAAATCAATCCCCGACAATTAATTTTCATGATTGAGGAAACATTCTCTACAAATACAAGCAAAATAAATGGTTCACGGCGATTAATATCTGCAAGTTAAAGAAGGCCGCGAAACTCATGGATATTTCTCACACACCAATAAAAGTTGGTTTACAGTAAATACTGACTGTCATTTCTTGATTCTTCACTAATGAAACCTTACAAATAATTAACATCATTATAAAATATAACTAAATAAAATTTTTATTTATTTAATTGATTTCCCCTTGAATGAATTGACGAAAATAAAAAAAAAATTGATCATACTCGGAGCATGCTCTTGAGTATCAAATAAGTTTGGAGACATTTACACAATTATGTAGGTGATATTGGAAAATAACTACATAAATAAAGTAAGTTGACAATGGAAAAGCAGAAGTCATCTCTTTTGTCATACAATTTAGTTGTTAAATTGCCTTTATCATCTATAGTCAGTAAAATATCCATCTATCTGACAGTGTATGTTTTTAGGATTTTGATTAATATCTGTATTGTTTATATACACTGTAGTACATTAATTTATTCGTCTTTTCTATCTTAATTTGCCCATGATTAGATTTTTCAGTTACAGATAGTTTTTTCATTAAATTTTTGTGTTCTGAGTAGTGTTGTGAAATTGGACGATTTTCAGTAACCGGTTACTCGCTTACTTTTCCGATCGAGTAACCGGTTACTCGGATGGTATTTCTTTAGATCTCAAATCATCATTTTTCGTGGTATATATGTTCAGTGGTAACTGAAATACATTTTGTATATGTAATGTTGTTAACATTTCTATATAAATCTTAATATCATTTGTATACCGGTATACTAGATAAAATACAACTGCACTGCTTATGAACTTTATTCTTAATTACAAACTCACATCATTAAATATCTTCTAAATATTTTTTTCTCGAACACCCGTAATAGTTTGCTGTTTTGTGGGATGTCCTTTATAATATATCGCTTGTTTCAGAGTTAAATTTCAATCTTAGGTGGTTTAGCATATGTGTTGTCCCACCCATATATGTTAAATCCATTTCAAATATTTTACACCTTACGGATTTAAATTCAGTCAAATTTAAAATTATTTGATGCATATGGTGGTGTCCTCTTTAATCTTGTACTACACACTAGCGCATATTTGTGTGAAGTAATTATAATTAACACAAGGCTTTAAAATTTGAAAGCCACCAATAAGATAAACTGTGAAATACTTATCAAAACAAATTGATCGTATTTGTAAAACGCTAGGTCGAGCCTATCGTTAAATATTGGTAAATAAAATAAGGAAATTTAAAAACAAAATAACATTTTTCCTGCTTATTTAAAAATGTAAAATTTTATATATCTGAGTAGCAGTTTTACTAACCGATACTCGCATCGTTCGATGGTTACCCGGTTAACCGGGTACTTGTTGACAACACTAGTTCTGAGAGATTGTGACAAATGAATAATGACTTACAGTACTGTAGATCACCATTTTTTCGTGAGATGGTCATTTGGTATTTATATGTGATACGTAATTTTTTCAAAATTCGGATAATGGTCTTGTATAATCTTTAGTAAATACAAATAAATGTGAAAAATTAAATTTTCACGAGCAGGCAGTCTCGCGTAATTACCCAGAAATTTAAAGTAAAATGTATTGACTCTCTATATTTACTGCAATGGTTGGAAAAGACATTGAGAAAATGACCATTGCATTATTTGTGCTAAAACATGTATATTTTTTTCGTGAAGTAATGTACATTCTAGTAGATATGTACTTACTGACTCTATACAATGATTAGCCGTACAGTCATTAGTACTTATTACTGGAGATTAATGCAGAAATAGGTGTGGTAGATAACTTTCGTCTTATGAGACAATTAT